ATTAGGTTCTCGGGAGAGTAGGGTTATGGTTAGGGCTAGGGAATTTCCTTATTCCCTTGTCTTACGATGTCGATCCATAGCACCATGTAGATTTCTGCACAATTCGTTCCCCACTCGACTCTGAATTATTCAAATATTGATCCTTTTATGCAGAGTAGAATTACCGATAAAGACAAGGGGATTGGAATGACCATTGCTGGCTTATAAGCCGTCGTCAGCCAGTCATACCCAACCCCGTAGTGTGGAACACCTGGACTCTATTCCGCGACCTGTTGGTTAAAAGTCCAACGCCTCTAACCACTGTGCCACAGGCTTTTTGTCCTGTCAGTTGCGATTTTGAATATACAATGGCGGAGGGACACCCACCGACCGTGTTACGGAACTCACTCGTCCCGTTGTGCCTTAGGGCTCTGGATGGCAGATAAGCCAGAAATGGTCATTCCAGTCTCCCTTGTCTTTGTCGGTAACGCTATTCTGCCTATGTATCATGGGCCGCTCTGCGGCTTCTGGTTGGACTCGAGTGAGGGCGCTCTAAGGCACAGCGGGAGGAGTGCGTTCCTAAACGCGATCGGTGAGCGTCCCTCTACCATAGATCCCTATCCATACGTCATTATAATTAGATTCTGTATCATTATGCTGCCACAAAAAGTTTTCGCGTTTTTTTTCTGAAAATCTCTAGCGCATACTCTACAAAACGGATAAGCAAGGTGGGGATTCTGTTATGTGCATCATTTTTGGGGTGGCCAAACGTCGGCTGAACCATTGAAGCCCAACGAAATGAACATGACGAATATACTGTGGAAAATATACAGTGCGTGACCGATCTCATGAAATGTTGGTCAAGATTCTGGAATGTATTTCCGATTAGGAAGGATTACTTAAGTGGGGTTGTTATACCGATTATCATGCAGCAAAACCCTATAACATTTCGGACTCACCAGGATATCGGCTTTTGAATGCACTTCTTTTCCATCTCCTGCAGAAACCACACTCGGTAACAAATGACTACTTAATTAATATGCATTTTTCCTATTGGTTTTCGATGGTCTTATAAATTTAAATAAATTTTATAGAGAACATACACAAATACATGCTTTTTGCTCATTTGGTAGGAAATCACATTGTCTTCATATTTTATGTCTGAAGAAAGTGTGTATTTAGGTTTTAAAAAAGTTCCCTGATTCCCGAATAATTTTTTGCCTGATCTGCCATTGCTTCAGCGCTGAGCAACTTTAGTTTACAAGGTGCATGCTCTCTGCGTAAAGAAAAATTATATATTCCTCTATGTCTTTAAGAAGATACAACATAGAGTTCATGAAATTTTGCAATGGATCCGGACAGTGTTGTATATTTCATGAGGAGCATTAGTAAACGTACATGTGCGGTCTTGCATGCATGGACACCGCACGGTCTTAAGAATCTCATAATTAAAAACTTCTTTAAAACCTAAATATACACTTTCTTCGGGCACAAAATATGAAGACAATGTGATATCCTGCCAAATGAGAAAAAGAAAGCATATTTTGTGCATGTTCTGTATAAAATATGTTTGAATTCATAAGACCATCGAGAATCAATAGGAACAATGCAAGCTACTTAAGTAGTCATTTTTTACGGAATGTGGTTTCTGCAGGAGGTCAAAAATAAGTGCATTTAAAAGCCGATATCCTGACGAGTCCGAAATGTTATAGGGTTTTGCTGCATGATAATCGGCATAACAACCCCCACTTAAGTAATCCTTCCTAATCGGAAACACATTCCAGAATTTTGACCAACATTTCATGAGATCGGTCACGCACTGTAATCTGCGAAATATGAAGAGTTCATCGGATCAGTGGAATTGGATGGCTGACGTTTCTGGGAGCTTGCCCAGCTCTCCATCATCAAAGCGTTTTGTGCAAAAATTGACATACGCCATGACCACGACAAGACGATCACAGGGAGCTTAAAGATATCGAGCAAACACTGCCCGTCGACTAATTCACCCAAAGGGGGCAGAGGTACAACCGATCCCTCTTGAGGTGACGGCACACAACGCAGATGGCAGCCTTCATTCACAGACAACGGCCTGAAGGCTAAGGTAGCAAAAGAAGTTAAAAAATTCATCAGCCCAAATCTAACTAATTGGGCCGTTTATTTAAAAATTCTAGTCAAGTTTTCGCACAAAAACGCTTCAATAATGGAGAGCCGACCAAGCTCTCCAAAACATCCGCCACTCAACTCCACTGATCCGATAAACCTTTCATATTGCTCTGATTATTGACCCAGATCTCTTACATTTGCTAACTCGAAAATATCGTATTTCCGAGGTCGATAACCGCATGCAGACGTCTATCCAAGGAAGATAAGCGACAACTACGAAAGCACGGATTTCACTGGGATCTCAGTCGTCCCAAATCGGATTTAGTGAGAGGAGGGCAGTAACAGTTAAAGCGGTAGGTATCACGAAGATACCAGAAGTCGGTATTTGTAAGAATCTCTAGTGGTAAATGATGAAAAAAGTATGGCGCCACCTAAAGGTAGTTCGCAGGACTATTCCAAGGGGGAGGGGGGTCAAGCTACGAGTTACCGTGGCAGCCAGACCAACAGCGACACAAGCGACAAACTAACTATGCGCACTAGCGCACGATCCCAGACCTGAAACATTCACACTTCGGCGCCCCGACAAAGACGCGCGTTTGCACTCAAAGTCTACCAATCGATAGAATTTGCGCGACGGAGGCAGCATCGTGGACATACCCTGTGCGCGTTCAGTGGATTGCACTACTCGCGCGGCAGCAAAACACTTTGTGTTTTCTGTATACTAGGCTGACCTTTGAAATGTGTGCTCTCTCACTCAAGTGGCGCGTCAAATCCATGTAGCCGCGCTGGCAGTGTTTGTCACTAACGACTAACGTCGAAGGCGAGTTCAAAGACCACAGGTGAGGGGGGACAAAAGTGTACGGAAAACATCCACTGTGACAGAACTCTCGGGTGTTCGGGAGTGAGCGCCATACAAAGGTCCCAGCGACGCCTTTTAAAACACGTTAAGGCGAGGATGGGATAGGCAAGCGGACCGAGAAAGTAAGGACAGGGCCT